ACTAAGACTGACCATAATGATAAAACACAGAAGTACACAGATCAGGAAAACACTTACATAAACTAAAGCACAGGACCAAGAACTAACTAAACAAGACTACACAGAGAAACACAGAACCAAAAACGGACTTAAACAGGAAAGACATGAACACAAAAAGAAACATTGAAAGAAATGTGTTTCTGTTTCCGGCTCTGACAAAGAAGCCTTTAGTCATGTTTGTATGAGGACTTGTTGGCTCTCATCAACACCAAGTGTTGAGTCAGCACACTCAAAAACGAAAAGATGGCGCCAGTGTTCATGGCAAGCCGTCTGTCCTCGTCTTGTCTGCTTAGTTTGCTGTTTGCTATCATTCTATTTATATGTTGTCAAGATGTCTCTGCTATACTTATCTATGATCGCCAAACACTTCTCAATATTTGGGCCTCTGAAGATTTACTTAGAAGGCATGATTTGAGAGATTATTGGACTAGGAGTCCTCCTCCTTTCCTGGCGGATATACCAGCGTCCACCATGCGATATTCCCCTAAAGAAGCGCTTCAGGGACGGGGAAAGCGTGGAGGTGTGCGGGTCAGATACAAGGCTTACCTTGCATCCGCAGACGGGACGTGTCCTCACAATGGATGCTACGCTCCTGCCGCACTGCGACTGCTGGAGGTGCGAGGCCGATGGCTCCGTCCCATTCTGCCCATCTTGACGGTTACCTCTGAGGCCGACCTGTTGATTCTGCCTCATCATCCTACGTGGATTCGGGCCAGCAGATGTGTGGATTCTTTGAACCTTCGCCCGCTGGATTGTGCGGCGCCTTTGGCCAGTGAGGATCGCAGTCTTCTTTTGGCTCTGATTAACGTTAGATCGCTAGCTAACAAGACATTTCTGCTGAATGACTTCGTCACTTCCAGGGAGTTGGATTTTATGTTTCTGACAGAAATCTGGCTTCATGCTGGTGAGTTCACTCCATTCTCTGAACTTCTTCCTCCCTGCTGTGACTTTCTCAGCTCCCCTCGGACCACCGGCAAAGGTGGGGGGCTTCAAATCTGTGTGTTCAAATCTGTCTTTCGTTGTCGGGACATTCTGGTTGACAGCTGCTCCAGCTTTGAACTGCAACTATTTGAGGCAAGCTTTCCCGCAACTGTGTTATGTGCGGTGGTGTATAGACCTCCAAACTTTAACAAGGATTTTATTCAAGACTTTGCAGACTTTGTGGCTGGGATTGCTTTGAAATATGATCACTTCTTAATTATTGGTGATTTTAACATACATGTGTGCTGTGAATCCAAACCTCTGGCTAAAGATTTTCTTAATCTTATTGACTCTTTTAATCTCACGCAGTCTGTCACCGTCCCGACTCATGAAAAAGGACATATTCTGTATCTTGTGCTGTCGTATGGTTTACGTGTAACCATAAGTGAAATATGTGACACATGCATTTCAGACCATCTACCTGTCTTACTTACTGTGGCTCTCCCCTGTTTGGAGATTGCCGGTCTTGCCGGTCTTAGCTTTTCACCTACTACATTTACCAGTGACCCCTCTGTCCCCCCTGTCAGCCCAGCTGTCTTCCTGCAGTTTGAGCCAGTTACATTCCCCCTTCTTTCTGACATAGTAAAGCAACTACGTCCTGCAAACTGCCCCTTTGACAGTATTCCTGCACGCTTTTTGGAAGATGTTTTTAACACTGTTGGATCAAGCATTGTCGCCTTGGTTAATACATCTCTCAGCTCAGGGTGTGTTCCAGCTGCTTTCAAACATGCAGTTGTGCAACCACGTTTAAAAAAGAACAATCTGGATTCTTCAAACCTCTCTAATTTTAGACCTATCTCTAAGCTCCCCTTTTTGTCAAAAATCCTAGAGAGAGTGGTTTTTAATCATCTTCAATCATTTTTAGATGATTTTAGTATTTATGAAAAATTCCAGTCTGGATTTAAGCCCCGTCACAGTACTGAAACTGCCCTTTTAAGAGTTTTTAATGGTCTTCTTTTAGCTGTTGACTCTGGAAACTCTGCTGTTTTGGTGCTTTTAGATTTGACTGCTGCCTTTGATATGGTTAACCACTCCATTCTCTTATCCCGACTCGAACAGTGTGTCGACATTAGGGGCACAGCCCTCAAATGGTTTCGATCATATCTGGCAGATAGAAGTTTCTCTGTTCCCCTCGGTGAATTTTCTTCATCTGTTGCCCCTCTTTCTTGTGGGGTCCCCCAAGGGTCCATATTGGGCCCCATGCTTTTTTCACTGTACATGCTGCCATTGGGGTCCATTTTCAAAAAACACAACATCTCCGTTCATTGCTTTGCAGACGACATACAAATCTATTTACCTGTAAAATCTAATGACAAAGCTGCAACTCAGTCCTTGCTCAACTGCCTGAGAGATCTTAAAATGTGGTTGAATCAGAACTTTCTCTGTCTGAATGAAAGTAAGACTGAGGTTGTTGTATTCAGTTGACCTGGGGATTTAAGTGCTTGTATAGATGTTCTTGGTACATATAGTCGTCCATTTACCAAGAATCTAGGTGTATTCTTTGACATTGCTTTTAAGTTTGAAAAACAGATTAGATCTGTAGTAAAAGCCAGTTTCTTTCAGCTGAGACTGTTGGCCAAAGTCAAGCCCTACCTACCACGCAAAGACTTTGAAAGAGTAATAGATGCATTTATAACGTCTTGTCTCGACTACTGTAACTCTTTGTATGTTGGAGTGGATCAGTCATCTCTCCATCAGTTACAGTTAGTCCAGAATGCAGCAGCCTGACTTCTAACAGGAACTAAAAAGCGTGAGCACATTACCCCTGTTTTAGCCTCGCTCCACTGGCTTCCTGACCGCTTTAGGATTGATTTTAAGATTTTATTGCTTGTTTTTAAAATTTCAAATGGGTTGGCACCTTCTTATTTATCAGAACTTTTACATGTACACACTCCGGTCAAAGCACTGAGGCCATCCAATCAGATGCTCCTTGATGTCCTCAGATCCATGTTAAAAACTAAAGGTGACCGAGCCTTCTAAGTAGCTGCTCCTAATCTTTGGAATGCTTTACCTGTTCAAATAAGAAATGCCCAAATGCCCTCCTGACACTTTCAAATCCTTGCTAAAGATCTTTATTCATTGGCCTTCGAACAGAGTTGAGTAGTGACATTTATTTTATTTTTTACTTTTTCTGCTGTTGTTATTGTGGAAAGCACTTTGGTCAACTAGTGTTGTTTTTAAATGTGCTATATAAATAAACTTGAACTTGAAGTGTAAACTGTGAAGTTCACCTTTGATGGCTAAAATCCCCATAAATAAAGCTCATGGACGTGACCTCCAGGTGGGTCGTCATTGTTGGTCTCTGGGCTCAGTTCAACTCTGTGTGGGTGGAGGGCTCAGTGGAAAAAAGGCTTCCAGACAACAAGAGAAACAGCTACAGCTACAGAGAGGGAGAGGAGTTGATGAGTGTGTACAGCAGCAGATATGAATCTGTTCTCAGTGGTTATCAGAACGCATAAAAAAACTGCCAATCAACAATTCCTTTCCTGCAGCAGACGGTGTGGGTTTCTGTTCTGTAGCCTCCTTACCGCTAGCTGTACTTTTTCAAATTAATACCACAATAACAGTTACAACCATCGACTCTGGTTAAAGAATCATTCCAGGAAGTTCAGTTTGATTTCAGCGCTCAGTACTCACTGTCTCAGCTTTGATCTGTGTTATTAATCTGTGAGAGAAACAGGTCAAATCCTGAACTCAGAGCTGAGAAGCTGAAATAAAAGGAGATATGTTCAACCACCTGCAGTCTGCTCTTATCCCACTTTATTACCTCACACTGATTCTAACAGGCAGTCAGTCAGCAGAGTGTTCACATGGGAATAATAACTAACATGTTGCCAACATGATGGCTTTGTATGTTGTGTAAACAACAGTGTCATCAGCGTAGAGCTTTACAAATATACTGACGCAATTATAAAAAAGGGTCAGGTTTGTTTAGCTTTGTTGTTTAGTTTAGTTGTCAAACCAGAGTCAAACAATAAAATATCTAGTAGACAGGTAATGATTCACCTTCATTTTTTTTATTATTATACAAGTCACAATTAAAAGTGGAAATAAACTACAGCATCAAAATAAAAGTACTCCACAGAACTTAAACTCTGGGGTTGCCTCTATCTAACCTGTGCATATCTCACATTTCTGACAGCTGATCAAAGTGATCACTGAGTCGAATTGATGATGGTGAGAAAAGGCGAGCAGAAAACAGTCAGTCAGCATGTGTGCAGCCGGTGGACGGTCCCTTGTTTCTGAGGATTCACAGCAGAGGGAGTCCACAGCAGTACACCAGACTCTTCACTATCAGCACTGTGTACAGCAGGCAGAGCAGCTTCACCCTGCACTGAGACTGGAAGGACACTGACAGACACACAGAGACATCAGAATATCATTAGTATACTTGGGACTTTTCCAGACGGGACAAACAGCTTTACATTAAGACTGGGCACTGCCAGAGTTTGGGTGAAATCCCAAAGGCCCTACCAAGCTTAAGGGGCCCTAAACAGGATCTGATTTCCTTTTCCCAGTTAAGAGCTATAATTAACTTTATAATTATGATCCCTCAAGGATCAAATGAAAAGTCCATATTTAAAAAGACACAGGTTATTGAGTCAGACTAGTTGATTTTTACATGCAGCCCTAACTGCAGCAGAACATTGGAGCTGTCTATGTAGAGAGGCAGCAGGTGATCTTACAGTCAGCTTGCTGCAGAGCTGCCAGGTCTGCTGGCTCCGGAACCTCTGAAACAGAAAAGGAGTCAGAAAGAAATGTCAGTCCTCTGCTCCTCTGCTCTCTTTGACAGCGTCTCCACATGAAGCTGAATCTCTGCTGAACACAGTCACCAAGCCTTCATTACCTTGTTCTGTTTGGGCCTTCACTTCCCCCCCCTCGTGCTGGACGTAGCAGCGGTATTTATATGTGGAGAGAGCGTCCCGATCAATCACTCTGATGGCGATGGTGCGTCCCGAATCTCTGAGCTCCAGCTGCACCTCCTCAGCAGGTGCCTGCTCCTCCAGAGACTCGTTCACCTTTCGTCTTTTCCAGGAGAAGCGGACCAGAGGAGGAAACATGTTTGAGGCCACACACAGCAGGGAGCTCTTCCCCTCATGGTGGGCTCTGGATGCTGCTGGGTACACGCTCACCACGGGCTTCACTACCGGGTTATCTGAAGTTTGACAGCAGCAACAAGCAGCACAGACACACATTCACACAGTCAACAGCAGCTTCCAGCACTGCATTCAGTCTGATCCTGGAAACTACATGGACTCTGATCACTGAGCTCCTCATCAATACAGCACACAGTTCACTACATGGACTGGATTCACCTTCATATCACACACACGCATCATGTCATATATAACAATAATAATAATAATAATAATAATTCTCTATTTGAACATACACAGTAAATTTGCTAATTTCACATGAATAAAAATGTGAAACGAATACAGTGGAAAATTGTTTTTTAATGTTGTCATTTTAATAATTTCAATATATATAGCATATTATATAATTACCAGCATTTACTGAACTCTAATAACTAAAAACACAAATCAGTGCATCAATTATTGCATAATTTTATAATTTACATATTTGCCATGATGATAACAATAATGTTTAAATAAAGCGGTTTTATACACAATTAAACACAATTTAACAGATTTTATGGGAAATTGTCACTAAGACTCCTCTAGAATATGGAAAATAATCTAATCTACTATATATAATTAAAAAATGTAAACAATCTCATATAAGACAATCTAATACAATAATGTCATATAAAATAATAATATGTGCAGTATTCGACACATAATTGTTATCACACAATATCACAAAATATCGTTTTCAACACATATTTACTGTTATATATTTAATATCCTCTTAAGCATCATATACTATTTATATTAAATGTGTGTTAAGATACAAAAATATTATCACTATTATGATCCTATGTGTAGAAATGTATAATTTCTGTTCATCATATTCAGTATCTGTTTGCCTTCATGTATAAATATTCCACTAAATTTAATATATATCATCATATAAAATTATCAAACAGTTCATTTTAACATTTAATTATACTATATAACATGTTTAAAGTTACATGCTATAATAAATAAATTTACTGACCTAAATTAAATTGTGTTTAATATTAATTCGTTTTTTAAAAAAACAAGAGACGGAGCTGAATCACTGAGAGGATCAAATACTGTATATTTGTAACTTTACTAATGTCTTTCTTTTTCAATCTGAAACATTTCTATCTGATGCAGAAATTAAAGAATTTTCTGTAACAATAGCTGCACGGCTGCAAGAACTCTGCTAATTATGAACAAACTAATATTTGAAGCCTGAAGCAGCAGAAATTCATTAAAACACATTTTAACTTGTTCAATAATACAACTGAAGGAAAATGTTGATTCTTACCTGTTACATACAGTTTAGTTCCAGAGCCAAAGATGCCGTAGGGTTTGTTTGCTTCCACAGTGAAACAGACTGATACAAAAACCTGTCAGCTGCTGAATGTGTCAGCTGAGGTGAACGAGTCCAGATGATGAACCAGGATCATATTTCAGCTGCATGATGTGTTTCTCTAATGTTCATATCAACATGACTGTCTCTTCTTTCATTGTCTTTTTAGACACACTATGACTAGTGGTCATATTACGCTCATTTTCAGATTCATAATCTTATTTAGTGGTTGTACCAGAACAGGTTCACATGGTTTCATTTTCAAAAAACACCATATTTTTGTCACACTGCACATTGCTGCAGCTACTCTTTTCACTCTGTGTTGAAGGCTTCATTTTTGCTATGGAGTGATACATCTTGTCTCTAAATGATCACGTATTTTCTTGTGATGTCACAGGAAAGCTGAAGTAAAAGCTGGACTACAAACGAGCTGTTTCCAGTTCAGAGCAGAGTTTTCTGTGGGAGATGGGAACTCCCTTTGAGCTTTTTCACTTTGCAAACCTATTACGTGCATAAAAAAGGAATATAACTCAATAAAAATAAAATAAAATCTTTAAAATTCTTACAACAGTCAAAATGTTGAAAAAATTACACATCATTCTGCTGGTTTTGGGTGTACTGTCTATTATTTTAGTGGCGTTTGATCCAACACTGAGTTACACAACTAACAGCAAGATATTAAATATCACTGCAGACTCACCTTTTGACCGATCTGCAAACCTTTTGAAATACTTGATATCTGCTATCTAGAGAATATATGTGTTGATTTTGGTAGCGTTTGAAAGAAGACTTGTGGAGATATGCTAATTAATTTAGCATATTCTGAAAAAAATAAGAGAGCCAGACTTGACCATAAGTTGCAGTGAGGCAAACTTTTGTCACATGTCAGTGACAAAACAAATTGTTGGCTCTCTGGGACGTACGGGTGATTTTCTTAGATTTTTTGAAGTTTGGAATGAGAAATGTCTAGAAATTTACATTTGTTGTAATAAGCCACGCCCACTTTAATTGAATTACAAGGTATAAACTTTTTGCATGTGTGACGCCCCCTAGTGGAAGAATCTCCCAAGACTGCATCCAAACAGATGCTCCAGGTTTGGTTACAACAGCTGAAGCCAATTTGGATTTATGAGAATTAATGTAAAATCTTACATTAAGACACAAAAATAAAAATATATTTGAAAAAACAGCTTCACTGCTTCGATCCCTAGAAATATTTATATTATTTTCATTGTTTTTTTGAATTTTTTCAGACTGAATGTATTTTTTAAAATGAAAAGTTGACTTTGCTCTAACCTGTAAGGTTATGGAGTCAGGAGCCGCTGCTGTGTTCAGCAGCAGTGTGAAAAAGGCATCATAATAATAATAATAATAATAACAATAATAATAAGCAGCGCTCCTATAATTAGCTATAGTGACGTCGCCGCTGAAGCATAAGGCGGGAATTCTGACGGTTTCAATCTCCCAGATCCACATGAAGAACACACCTGCTAATCTGACTTGCACACCCCAAACCATGCAGCCCAATTAATCCGGTGTGGATTTATTTGTGTTCAAGTAAGTGCTGAATATAACCTGTTGTTTTACCCTTTCTGATTGCAAACCCATGTGGTTGTGTGGAGATAAATGTTAGTAGTTTCAACATGTTTCGTTGTATTCACCTTTGCTAGTTAGCTCAGCTTTCAGAGTCATTAGTATTTGGATATTAACGGTATTTGGACGGTAAAAGAGAGACGCACCATTTAATTTCCCTGTTCCAACACCAGGTGGTGCTCTTTGCTTCTGTTTTCTGATGTGAATGTTTTGTGTCTGTTTAAAGCAAAGATTAAACTTTCCGCATCCGCGAGTACTCGAGGGTCCACGTGATGAAAAAAATCATCATCAAAGGGATTATGCGTAGGGCCTGATTTTCAGGCAGGATGGAGACACACTGTCGGGTCCAGGAGCCTTCCTGATCTTCTGCCTTTGGAAGAGGTGGCTCACATCCTCTTCACAGATCTTGAGTGCAGTTGAGAGGCCAGAGGGGGAAGGTGACTGTTTGAAGATGGCTTTGGAGTGGGGGAGAGGTGTGACTCTGGGCTTTTCAAACCTACAGTAGAAACCATTCAGCTCGTCTGCCAGTCGTTGAGTACCAGCAGTGTTGGGGGATGGTCTCTTGTAGTTTGTGAGTGTCCGTAGGCTTCTCCACACTGACACAGGGTCATTGGCTACAAAGCTGTTATTTAGCTTTTCAGCGTAGCACCTCTTTGCAGCTTTGACCTCTTTAGTCAGAGTGTTCCTGGCCTGGTTGTACAAGACTCTGTCCCCACTTCTGAAGGCCTCCTCCTTGGTCTGACGAAGCTGCCTGAGTTTCACTGTGAACCAGGGTTTTTGGTTATTGTATGTGCGGAAGGTTTTAGTTGGCACACACATGTCCTCACAAAAACTGATGTAAGATGTCACAGTGTCAGTTTGTTTGTCCAGGTCAGTGGCTGCAGCCTCAAAAACACTCCAGTCAGCGCAGTCAAAGCAGGCCTGTAACTCCAGCTTTGACTTGTTGGTCCATCTTTTCACAGTATTTACAACAGGTTTAGCAGATTTCAGTTTTTGTCTGTGTGTCGGGATAAAATGAACCAGACAGTGATCAGAGAGTCCCAAGGCCGCATGGGGAACAGAGCGATAGGCATCCTTTATAATAATAATATAATAATCTTTATTTGTAGAGCACTTTTCAAAAACAAGTTACAAAGTGCTTTAACAAGTGTAAAGACAATAATACCCAAGAGAATATAATACAAAAACAGTACAAGATAAAAGCATGACAAACATTGAAAAGACGAAAATACACGTTTAAGATAAATATAAAATTAGTAAAATACAATAAAATAAACCAAACATTAAGGTTCTTTGCCACAGGCTTAATGTGATTTACTAGGGAACCAGCAGATGGCAGTATTTGTTTTGCCATCTGCTGAGACCCGATGACCAGGATTTCTGTTTTGTTTTTGAGTTCAGCTGGAGGAAATTATTTGACATCCATTTTTTAACTTCACAAAGGCAGTTGTTAAGTGAACTCAGCATTCCAGGGTCTGTGGATCTGACGGGCAAGTATATTTGTGTGTCATCAGCATAAATATGAAAAGAAATGCCATGTTTATGGATAATATGTCCAAGGGGAAGCAGATACAAGGAAAACAAAATGGGTCCTAAGACCGACCCCTGAGGCACACCATATTTAACTGGACAGAATGAGGAGACATAGTTGTTTACAGACACGCAAAACTTCCTATTTGACAGGTAGGATGAAAACCATTCTAGGGCAGTACCAGAGATCCCCACCCAGTGCCTCAGTCTGTCTAACATGATGTTGTGATCAATGGTGTCAAAAGCAGCGCTAAGGTCCAGGAGTACTAGGACTGAGCACATGCCTTCATCAGCAGACATTAAAAGGTCATTGGTGACTTTAAGCAGGGCAGTCTCAGTGCTGTGGTACTTCCTAAAACCAGATTGAAACTTTTCAAATATTTTGTTATTTTCCAGTACAGTGAGCAGCTTTTTGGACACAATTCTTTCTAGAATCTTTGCAATAAAAGGTAGTTTTGAAATTGGTCTAAAATTATGTGGGAGGGAGGGATCTAAACCAGGTTTTTTAAAAATGGGTTCACGCAAGCCGTTTTAAAATAATCAGGGACACAACCAGTAGATAGGGAGCTGTTGAACACAGAGATCAAATGGGGCCCAACAGAATCTATTACTTTCAGTAAAAACTTTGTAGGTATTACATCAAGTGGGCTGGAGGACACTCTCATTTGTGATACTGTTTTTAAAAGCTCAGACAAGTCGATGGGATAAAACTGGTTAAAACTCTCTTGTTGCTGGTGAGGAACCTCTGAGTAAGAGGCTGTGGGGGTAATAGAGGCTCTGATTAACACCACCTTATTGGTAAAATAAGATAAAAACAATTCACAGTCATCATTACTTCCAGCTGAGGCACAAGGAGGTGTTGGGTTTACCAGCTGATCCACAGTCTTAAACAGAAACCTGGGATTGTGTTTATGTGTAGTAATGAGTTGAATGCAAGAGAAAAATAGTGTGTTCTCGCATCCTTAACCAAGTTATTGTACTTGGACTTGGACTATTGGACTTGGAGACTGGATTTTTTCCATCTGCGCTCTGCTTTCCTGCATTCCCTTTTGAGGCTGCGAATGCTGTCATTTATCCAGGGTTGCTTACTAGCTTTAGACGTAGGCCTAACCTTTAGAGGAGCAGTAATATTTAGTGACGACAAGCAGATATGATTGAAGTGATCGACCAGATTGTTGGTGTTGGAATCAGACAGGTGTTGGCTTTGGCTCTGAAAGAATGCGCAAAACTTTGAAACACTTTGTTCATTAAAGAAGCGAGAACACACGGAGCTTGGTGAGGCGGCATGAGTAACAGGCGAATCGCAGCTAAAAACAATACATCTGTGGTCAGATATGGTCATGTCCACCAATTCCACAGAGGAAATGCTGACACCCAGGGTAAAAACCAAGTCCAGTGTATGACCACGGTTATGGGTTTGCCCTTTGACATGTTGTTTGAAGTTAAAAGAAGTGGCCATATTTAAAAAGTCAGTTGCATTAACATTGGTGGGGTCATCAACATGAATATTAAAATCGCCACAAAGAACAATTCTGTCATAATTTAAAACCAGAGTAGATAAAAATTCAGGAAGTTCTGATAAAAATCCTCCAGGCGGTTTTGGGGGGCGATAAATTATAACAAATATGACAGGTTGCAGCCCTCCAACTTTAAGAGTGAGAACTTCAAAGGAGCTAAATTCATCACAGCGTACTTGATGACATTTTAAATTTTTCCTATACACGCTCACTAGCCCACCACCACGACCACTGACCCTCGGTTGACTAAAGCAATCATATTGAGGCGGACACAGTTCAGCTAGCTGGCTATAGTCATTCATTTGCAACCAGGATTCAGTTAAAAACATAAAATCTAGATTTGCAGACAAGATAAAATCATTTAAGATAAAAGTCTTACTTGAAAGTGATCTCACATTGAAGAGAGCCATTTTAAATGAGTTTGTTCTGGGTGCTGGAGTTGGTGCAGTTGTCCTAATCCTTAAGAGATTACTAATATTTCTGTGTGGGATGTGCACGTTTCGGTTTACTGGTCTATGCGTGATGACAGGAATAGAAGTCTGTGGAACAGCGCTGGGAGCAGACGGCTTTACATGCCAGCAGGTGGAGACAGTTGTTTGTGGCAGTGAGGCAGAGATCTGTTCAGTGAGCGGTGGTGTGTCCAGGTGTGCTGCATGAATGATTAGTCATTCACGTAAGTCATGTGTGGACCGCACCACATGCTGTATGTGAGCAGCTAACATTTCTGAGCTCCGTTTGTTTGGGTGAAGTCCGTCTGTCTTAAAAAGAGACATTCTTTGCCAGAAAATATTAAAATTATCCACATAAAACACACGGTGAGCCCTGCAGGCGGACTGGAGCCAGTCGTGGAGGCCAAGGAGTCTACTGAATCGGCCAGCACCGCGACCAACTGTGGGAATGGGACCAGAGATAAAAACGGACTTTCCACACTGCTTTAAAAAGTTAAGAAGACGGTTAAAATCTAATTTTGTCAGCTCAGACTGCCGAAGAGCTGTGTCATTTGTTCCCACATGGACTATCACTCTTGTGATGGAGGACGGGAGCGACGGCATCAGGTCCTGGAGTTTTTTTAAAATGACAGCCGTGGTGGCACCGGGGAAGCAGTGAGTGGTAGCGTTAAAGAAACGGATGTTTCTGGTTATGGAGTCACCAATTATTAGTGTGGTTGGGGAGAAAAGGGGACGAGGAGATGCCGGTTGTTTCAGTCCAGAGCAGGACTGAGCAGAATCTGCTTCAACACTGCGTGCGGACTGAGGATGGAGTGTGTGAGCTGTTGAGTGTTGTGTTGGAGTAGCAGTAACAGACCTGAGAGAAGAGCTACCCGACGGTGCAGGGTAGAGACGGCCTCCGGAGCGTCTGAGCACAGCCTCCTTCAGGATCCTACGTCGGGAAGCGGAGGTTTTTGACCGGGATGACGGCCGCCGATCAGGTCCGGCGGCAGACCGGCGGCCCAGTGCAGGAGATGTAGCCGGTGGAGGAGATTCAACAGTGTCGGCAGGCACTGTGCGCCGAAAGAGATCCGTATCAGGGAGACTCGAAGCCGCAGGTGCATCAGCTGGATGGACCGGAGTGTCGTTAGACAAGGCTGCATAGCGGTTGGAGAGGCCGATGTGCGGAGGAGAGGCAGCCCCATCCGAGGCTCTCTTGCAGCCACGGACCACCACTTCAGCCCAGGTTGACTGATGCTTTGGAGTCGAGCAGGATGAAAGCCTGGGAAGGCTAGAGGGGTCCCAAAACACGGTGTCCTGGATGTTAGCGGTTGCGCTAAGAGAAACAATCTGTTTGGCTTGTACTGAAGCCACATCCATAAAGCCAGTCAGCAGGGAATCTTTCTCTTTGAGTTCCTCTGAAAGTCGTCGGATGTCTTCCATAAGGTCAGCAATCTTCTTGTTCGCTTTCTTAAGGAGTGAGCAGTCCTCATGGGGCAGAGTTATCTCGGCTAGCATAGTCACCGGAGCTTTGTTGTGATCAGTAGCGTTGATAGCGTTTTTACGGTCATCTAGCTTAAAATCCATGTCGGATGACTAAAATCCTTAACCCACGTAAAACTTAAGTTAAAAACAAGTATATAAAGTTAAATAAAAAGGATATAAAAAAATGTAATGAAAAAGAGTGGATAAAACTGGATAAGAGTTCGGTTTAAGACGGAGCTTCCGACAGGTGGCTACAGACGCCAACGCATGCGCAGAGTGCAGATTACGTCAGCAATTACGTCAGCGATGTTGTGTAGCAGTGGTCCAGTGTGTTAGTGTCCCTGGTGGGACACTTAATATGCTGTCTGTACTTTGGAAGTTCATGACTGAGGTTTGCTTTGTCAAAGTCCCCAAGAACAATGAGCAGGAATGTAAACAGCGACCAGAACAAACGAGGAAAAATCCCGCGGTGAATAAAACGGTTTACAGTTTATAAATAATGTCTCTAGGTGAGGGCTGCATGATTTCTTCAACGCTGTAACATCTTTGCACCAACCTTCGTTTATATAGAAATAGAGTCGGCCTCCCCTTGTTTTTCCCGTGAGCTCCATTTTGCGATCCCCGCGGATGATGAAGTGCACTGTCCATGCACTGGGCCAGGATTCGGTAAAAAAGAGGGCAGCAGATCTGCAGAAGTCCGAGTTTGTTCTGTTGAGGAGCAGCAGTTCGTCCATTGGCCAGATAGCCGACATTCGCCAGGTGGATTGAAGGGAGCACAGTGCGAAATCCCCACTGTCTCAGTTTAACCAGCGCGCCTGCTCGTTTTCCCCTGCGCTGTTTCCGAAGGATTCCAAACAGAGCTGCTGCTCCTCCAACTAATAACTCCGGGAACGTTCCAGGGTCAATAAAGAGCGGTGGAATAGTATGAGCAGTAGAAAGTCCAATGTTTAAGAGTTCTTCTATGCTAAAAGTTACCAGAGAGGGACGGCAGAAAACAGCGTTAATTAACAAAAACACAAAAAGCACTACGGAGCGTAAATCCGAGGCGGCCGTCTGCGGCGCCATCTTGGTTTGTATGTTTGTGGCTGAGATGGAGGTGAAATATGTGAACCTGGGCTGTGGTTTACTGCTCTCTTCCTGTCACAAACAATGTTTGACATCTGCTGGTTTTTGTTCAGGCTGCACGGATCATTTCTCACTGTGGAGATCTCCTTCCAACAGGAGCAGTAGTAGGTGGCTGAATGAGAGAGTTTAACTTTCTGGATCTGCAACTCACAGCCGTTCTGTTTTCTCACAGCTGAGAAATCATCTTTCTGAGTGTGATTGTAATTTGACCTAATCTGACCATTACTCTTCTGAATAGCAAGAATCACTGTGAATGTTTCTGTGTCTTTCTTCTGGCGCCAGCCTACATATTCATAGTCACACTGGTCAGTTCCTCGACAGCTGAAGGAGACGTTTTCACCGACTCTCCTGGTCAATGTTAAATCGTCCTGAATCAGCTCTGCTGCCATGACAACCAGCGCTGTAGAGACACAGACAGATAGATGAAGGTCAGCGTGACAGTGTTTGTTCCAGGTGGAGTTTGCTGGCTCCTGATTGGCTGGAAACACTCACCTGAACACAGACAGCACAGAGCAGCAGCTGGGAGGAAAAGCATTGTGTGCAGTGGTGTTTCCTCTGGTGAACCTGGGGAGAAGTGGCGCTCTGATGCAGCTGAGGCCAAACAAGGACGAGCTGTGAGATCAGACGAGGGCCGCGTGGTTTCTAACGGGTCCTCAGACCTCCCATCAGCCCCTGCGGCGGACAGATAAGGCTGCTGCTACTGATTGACAGCTCAGCTGAAGCTGCTGTGTGGTTTTCTGCTGAGTCGGAGGTTTTAAAGAGGAGAGGAATTTAGTAACACAGACTGTTATATGTTGTTTAACCTCATACCCAACACACAGCCAGTTAGTTGTTGTTTTCTTGTTGGTCACAACGTTGTACTTTCTTTCTGTTTATTTGTTCTGTTCTTTTCTTTTTAAAAATTAGTTGTAACGTTTTTTTTTTTGTTTAAAAGGTTAAAACATCCTGCTGCACATTAATGAGCAGGAAGAAGAATCTGAGGAGAGAATATATAATAGTACAACAGACACAGTTAATCTTGTAATTAATGACAAACACAAGTTTTCCTGCTGTCACGTGTCAAAATGTCTTCATAAAAAAGTTCTGCATGCTGTCAGGATTATAACTGTCACACTGCTGCCCTCTAGTGTCTGCAACAACACACTGCGTCTCCACCTGATACTACTACTACTGCTATTAATACTAATACTGCTGCGACTACTGTACTGCTGTTACTGTGTAGAACAAATCCTTCACACTGCTGCCCTCTAGTGTCTGCAACAACACACTGCGTCTCCACCTGATACTACTGCTACTGCTATTAATACTAATACTGCTGCTACTACAGTATTTTCTGAATGCTGAAACCCTGACAGTGATTCTTGAAGTACTACTTCTGAAACCATTAACACTCGGAGCTGCTGCATTGACCAAGTGTTCCAAACTGAAAGTACGTCCTCTGCTTTACACTCAGTTTGTAATTTTAGAACTGACGTCAAGCAGAACTGTAAACACTGGTCTGTAGTTTGCCAGCTGGTGTTCCACACTGTGACATGTGAACACACTTTTAGATCATTAACACACTTAATTTGATGTGGATGAAATCTCACAGCCAAACACACAAAGAAGGTGAGATGAGGCCTAACTTGGATTTTTCTTTTCCAGCCCAACTGTTTTTGTTTTCTTCTAGAGAGCTTTTGAGTGGAACAGTAGGACATGTTGAGAGAAAAAAACACATCCTCCTTATTTGTTTTGTTCTGAATACACGTCCATACTTTACACGTCTGGACACCTGTGAGCAGGTGTTTTACTCAACACATAGACGCAGGTTATAAGAATTGTTTGCTGTTACTGTGTAGAACAAATCCTTCACGCTGCTGCCCTCTAGTGGCAGCAGGTACACACTGACTCACACACGAGGCCTCTAGATCTACTACTACAGGGGCTGCTGCTGTTTCTACTGCTTCTAATACACTGATAGGACTTCTACTTATGGGCTGCAAATAACTTGAATTTGATTATCCATAATTTTCAACTCAGTGATTGATTGAAATTTTCAGAGTTTCAAATTTGTCCCTGTTCTCCAACTGTATTAGTTTGTTCACTTTGATAATCCGCAACATGTAATGATACAGTTTCTGTGGAAATACAGTACAAACCTTAAATGAAGTACAACATTTAATATGTACTGATTTACAGTTTCTTTGAATTTTTTATAAAGTATAAAGTTTAAGATTACTGTGAAATCTCCTCAACTGAAAACATGCTGAATAAATACAAAGTAAGTTGATGCATCTACTAGATTCTCATTGTTTCAGTTAAAGTGGTTTAAATGAATCCAAATAAAGTGCTGTTGAATCTAAAACAATTTTCTCTCAGCCAGACACCTTCATCAGATATTGTCTTTGCTTGCAGTAGTTATGTTTGGCGGTGTGGCTCTGTTCTGGGACCCCACTGATACACTGATTGGTCAGGAATAACCTTAAAGCAGGAGCTGAGGTGTCAGTGGGTTACAAGCAGCTCGCAGAGAAAGCAGGCTAGAGCGGCTTCAATAAGGCGTTTCTCAACGTGTCCAGCTCGTCTGTTAAAGTTACTATGACGATGACGATTCATGACTGAAGTAAAAAATGAGTGAACAAACCAGTGCCAAGAAAAGAAAATGATTACTTTTAAGAGACAGAATAAAAATATTTTTATTTAGTTTCATTTGTAGGCTTTATTTCATTTATTGGTCAAATTGTGTTTTCATTGCAGTGTAAAAATAAAAATGTAATAATGTTTAAGTTTTATTAATTCCTGTAGGCTTACACACGGTACATTACATACCGTATTACAAAACTTAAGTTTGAAAGGTATTTTAGTGTTACAATATATAAGTACACATAAATATACAAGAAATATATTTATTTAAATACTTATCCTGTTAAATTGTTATATTTACATAATCCCTTATATAATAAGCTACACAGTTATGTATAAATAAATAAAAACATAAAATAAGTAATAATACCGTTATTTTCCATAAAATTAGGACTTTTGTTTGCAGTGCACCTCAAGAACTATTGGATGGATTGTGATGAAATGTGTTTCTGTTTCCGGCTCTGACAAAGAAGCCTTTAGTCATGTTTGTATGAGGACTTGTTGGCTCTCATCAACACCAAGTGTAAACTGTAAAGTTCACCTTTGATGGCAAAAATCCCCATAAATAAAGTCCATGGACGTGACCTCCAGGTGGGTCGTCATTGTTGGTCTCTGGGCTCAGTTCAACTCTGTGTGGGTGGAGGGCTCAGTGGAAAAAAGGCTTCCAGACAACAAGAGAAAAGACAAACAGCTACAGAGAGGGAGAGGAGTTGATGAGTGTGTACAGCAGCAGATATGAATCTGTTCTCAGTGGTTATTAGGACTCATAAAAAAAACTGTTGACAGCCAATCAGCACTTCCTTTCCTGCAGCAGACAGGCTGTGTGGGTTTCTGCTCTGTAGCCTCCTCACCGCTAGCTGCACTTTTTCACATTAATACCACAATGAAAGTTACAAACATTGACTCTGGTTAAAGAATCATTCCAGGAAACTCAGTTTGATTTCAGCGCTCAGTACTCACTGTCTCAGCTTTGATCTGTTATTAAACTGTGAGAGAAACAGCTCAAATCCTGAACTCAGAGCTGAGAAGCTGAAATAAAAGGAGATATGTTCAACCACCTGCAGTCTGCTCTGATCCCACTTTATGACCTCACACTGATTCTAACAGGCAGTCAGACAGCAGAGTGTTCACATGCGAATAATAACTAACATGTTGCCAACATGATGGCTTTGTATGATCTGTAAACAACAGTGTCGTCAGCGTAGAGCTTTACAAATATACTGACACAATTATAAAAGGCGGTCAGCACTGAACCTGGTGGCACACCTACACCTGCTGACTTGTGTATAACAACTAAATATTTATGTTTGCTCATCTTTGTTTAGCTTTGTTGTCCTTTTTTAGTTGTCAAACTAGAGTCAAATGACTTGTATCTGTCAACAAACACGGCCAATGAAGCTGATTCTGGTTCTGATTATTTGCTATGAAGCCAAACTGAAATCCATAAAAAGAAGAAAGTTTATAAAACACAGACGCTGGGATTTTTCAGTTTATTGAAAAAGATACACTCAAAGAATTTGACAAACCTGCCACACATAATGTATTAAAAAGAGACAGAAGAACAGAAAAATTCTACAAACAATAAAATATCTAGCAGACAGCTAATGATTCAGCTTCATTTTTTATTAAATCACAATTAAAAGGAAATAATATAGAGCATCAAAACAACAGTATCATAGACTAACAGAATTTAAACTCTGCAAACGGCTAATATATGTGTATATATTTTTAGGATGACTGTATCTAACCTGTGCACATCATAAGTTACATTTCTGACAGCTGATCAAAGTGATCACTGAGATGAATTGATGAGATCTGATGGTGAGAAAAGGCGAGCAGAAAACAGTCAGTCAGCATGTGTGCAGCCGGTGGACGGTCCCTTGTTTCTGAGGATTCACAGCAGAGGGAGTCCACAGCAGTACACCAGACTCTTCACTATCAGCACTGTGTACAGCAGCCAGAGCAGCTTCACCCTGCACTGAGACTGGAAGGACACAAATGGTGGAATTGATGGTGGAGGTGATGGTGGAAGAGCTGGAACCTCTGAAACAGAAAAGGAGTCAGAAAGAAATGTCAGTCCTCTGCTCCTCTGCTCTCTTTGACAGCGTCTCCACATGAAGCTGAATCTCTGCTGAACACAGTCACCAAGCCTTCATTACCTTGTTCTGTTTGGGCCTTCACTTCCCCCCCCTCGTGCTGGACGTAGCAGCGGTATTTATATGTGTAGCGAGCGTCCCGATGAATCACTCTGATGGCGGCGGTGCGTCCCGACTCTCTGAGCTCCAGCTGCTCCTCCTCAGCAGGTGCCTGCTCCTCCTCAGCAGGTGCCTGCTCCTCCAGAGACTCGTTCACCTTTCGTCTTTTCCAGGAGAAGCGGACCACAGGAGGAAACATGTTTGAGGCCACACACAGCAGGGAGCTCTTCCCCTCATGGTGGGCTCTGGATGCTGCTGGGTACACGCTCACCACGGGCTTCACTACCGGGTTATCTGAAGTTTGACAGCAGCAACAAGCAGCACAGACACACATTCACACAGTCAACAGCAGCTTCCAGCACTGCATTCAGTCTGATCCTGGAAACTACATGGACTCTGATCACTGAGCTCCTCATCAATACAGCACACAGCACACTTTCATATTACATACACGCATCATATCATATATAATAACAACAACAACAACAACAACAATAATAATAATTCTATATTTGAACGTACAAAGTAAATTTGCTGATTTCACATGAAAAAAAATGGAAAACAGTGGAATTTTT